ATTAAGTAAATCATATGTGTAATTTTTATCTCATCGCCGTCTGCATAATTTAATACATTAGTTAACCTAATTTATTAGCTATATTAGCTAACCTATATATAGTAGGTCAAATGTTTACAGCTCGTTACGTTAAACGCTGGCATAGTGTATAGCGTATTATATTATTATATGTGCCTGAATTTAACTGCTACACGCTCGGATTTAAACGGTGGTGCAGCCCTTAAATCAGATTCAATTGGAGTGGATTATCGGATGTTATTGTCCGGCCGATGGACAATGCGTGTGCGTATAGGTAATCTTGGAACAGTCGGAACTCGACTCGATTATAATAATATTATAATATAGACTCATTATACCTGCCGACGCCGTTGAAATACGCAAATTGGTTGTGTGAGTATTATAATAATTGACGTGCGCTCATCATCATTAGGGAGAGAACTGGCCGTTTCCGTTAAGGTAATACCATTGCCTATACCGTTGTGTCGTCAACGAATTAATTATTATAAATGATAAATTGTTATACGATCATCGTCATTGGATGCGACCTATTCGATATTGCCGATTAGGGCATTAGGCGATGACGAAGAGCTAGACTGCGATATTTTACGAGTTCAAGTACATAAACATTATTATGGTATACTATGAGTTCTGTGATATACGCTCGTACTTTGTACCTATATAATATGCCTCAGGTAGCGAAACCGAAATTATATTTCTACGAGGAAAATCTATGAATCATAAAAATGTTTTTGTTAATTGTAGTAACGAAAACCATACGAAAAATATCGGTCAGAAACAAAAAACGTGTATCCAGTCCAAAAACAAGTTTGAGTAAAACAAAAAAAAATGATATATTTTGTTAAATCATATAATTTTTATCGTTTCTATATTCCTTCGAAATTTACAATTATTGGTATTTCCTATAGTATAACATAAGGATGTGCACTGTGCAGTGACATTTACAGCTTATGCCTATTGAATAATCGAGAGAACATGTACTATGATTAAAATGTCTGATGTTTCCCGTGGTAAAGACTAAATGAAGATTTGTGTGCATTAATATTTTTATATTTTCATTTATTATTCTTCAGGTAGGTTGTTTAGTATAATACAATTAATACAATGCACCGAAGAGAGCTTGAATTCTTTTTAAGTCCAGTGATTTAACAGAAGTGGCTGCATGATCACAACAAAACTATTTTTTCCAAGCACAGTCGTCTCTGTTTATTTAATTGCATTTTTTTATCATCTTATATAAGTATTCGTCGTTGCTGTTTATGTTTTCAGTTGCATAAATGCATAATTAATATTATAATCTAAAAATTGTCTTGTGTTTATTTTCGGCGTTTGTCGCCTCGTTAGTTGTGATGTGCATCTCGCGGGCTGTTAATATGTTTGCGAAGTCATTACGGAAAAAACGATTATTTTACAACTGGTCAAATAGTTAAATTACTATAATGGGTATAATATAGGTACATGTTATAATAATTGGCTTGGAAGTACCTATATATATATTCGTTTCTCAAAATAAGTATTTATTATTTTTTTTATTTGGTTGGATAATATTAATCTAGTAATAGTTTCGAGTAGAACTTAGTTATAAAATTACATTATGATTACTTGATTAAACATTTTTAGTAAATGAATTTAACAGAACTATTTCTATTATGATAATAAATTATGTATCTAATACTACAAAATATAATTATGTTAATGTTAAGCCATGAGTTGGGCCGTTAAATTTTTTCCTGGTTACAATAACATGCGTGCATAACATTCATAAGACATTTCATCATAATAATATCGTTTTTAGTATAAAATTTGAATGACCAAACAGATTTTTTAATAAATTGTTTTATAATGCTATTAACGTAAAAAAACATTACCCACAATGAAAAAATTCAAAATATTTTTCCTGTAATTATTTTTTATTTTTTTTTTATTCTTTTGTCTACAATAATTATTATAACATAAGTAAAATTTTATCGTGGATTCGAAGGTTACTAAATAATACGATGGCTCTATGGATCTTTTGACACGAACTTGCGTACTGTTAACATTACAATATACTATATAACGTTAATCGCGTAACCTCTTTGGCCTTCACTTGTCCCATGATATCTAATTATAATGCAGTGTTAAATCAAACATTAATATCACGAGACCTATTAATTATCATCATAGTTAAGTCAGCGATACGCATTTATTTACCCGGCCGATCATTAATATAGCGATATTATAATATGCACATGCGAATTAAACCAAAACTACTTAGTTTTGATTATATTACAAAATTACCGCAGGTATAATGATTGAGGTACAGGAAAACGCAAGAACTATCTTGAAAAGCAGTAAAGAAGAAAAATCATGACTAGTAAAGTTCAACAATCTTAACACGCTGCACCGTGAAATTGTTATAATAGTCCGATGGTTTTCGAAAAATATGAATTAAAATAATAATAGTATACACCATTACAATAATGAGCCATAGTACGACGTGTGGACGTATCCATCATATTGTTATACGTATTAATACTGTTGTATCATGTTTTTCCGTGACATAAAAAATAATATCATGATGGTGTTTTGAACGAGACAGACGTGAGAGATTATTGACGTTATTTTAACATCGTAATATGTAATAAATTATTATGTTCATTAATACGCATTGATCGTTGCACGTAGTCGTAGGGTTTTTTTTTTTAAAAAAAATTGAAACGGTAAACGACTACCAATATAATATTATACAAGATGATTCACCAAGCACGCAAACCCCCCATTTGTCCTTTGTTAATACATTTATTCAAATTGATTTTTCTACTTAAGGTCAAATTTTCAATCATTTAGTTATTTTATATCGTTTAACGATTTTAGCTTGTCTCAATGGCGTTTTATATTGTAAACTATGATTTTTTTTTTTTGTAAATGTTGATGCATAAAATGTAGGTATTTAAATCAAAATTTGAACGAATTGATTTCGGAGTTATTAGACTTGATATACCTATTAAGAATAACAGTTCTTGATAATGGTTTTATATGAAATAGGTATATTATGCAATATTTCGTAATTGTTATACTCTGGCTATTTTTATAAATTATAAAATTTTAATTAGGTTTTCTTTTCAGGATAATATTATATAGAATCTGTGCACTGACTCCTAAGGCACAAGTGCAAAACAATAGAATATAATATTATGATAGTTGAATAATATGACAGTGAAATTATTTTATAGGAGAGGTCACTAAATTTGCTAACACTTACTAAGTAAATTACTAATATAAATATATAAAGAACATTAATTTATTTTAAAATCATCAAATCCCCCATGGTTTTTAAACCTTTTATCATGGATTATTATTTTTAGTACATAATGTCATAATAACAACGTTAAATAAATCCAATCTACTCGTTGAATTTAGTTTATAAACATCTATATATTTTCCTGATTATTATTCATTTTGTTCGATACATTTCTGTAGAAGTGTAGAGTAACTACTGTGTGTTCACAGCCATCGAACTTATATCTGAATTTTTCCGCGGGTGTAATAGACAATAGTAGTATATGTATAATATAGTATTACAATATTTACATTATATATATATATATATATATATATATATCATAATAGCTGCCATCAATTTAATAATTTAAATAATAAATATTAACAATTTCTTGGAGTGATGAGGTTATTAAAATAATTATGGGGTTAGCCTGCCCCGAGTCCTTGTCTCTACTTAAACCGTAACATATTTTTCAAACAATAACACCGGTTTAAACCAGCACTGATGCAGTTGTAGTGAACAGATTTTATTAGGAAATTTTTTATGATCAACACAACTCTGAGTAGAAATTGTGGTGGTGCACAGATTAATCGTACGTTTTGCGATTAAACTTTTGCTGTGTCGTACGCGTTCGTCTGGAGCTGATGATAATAATAACATTATTATAATACTTATTGGTATTCAACACGACACGGCGAGCGTGACGCTCATCCGGCGTGATCAATTTGAATAACGTTTAGTGCCAAAGAGATTGCAGTAGACGATTATTATTATTATTATTATTTGTTCTGGGCCAACTGTCGTCGAACAGAGAAATGCGCTTTTCATGCCTAAAGTATAATGTAAATGCACTACATAATTATTAATATTAACATAATAATATTACAATTTTATAAGTACGATGAATATATTATAATTATTGTTATATACTTGCATTGATGATGGAAATCGTACCAATTGCAAAATAAATATTATGTTCGCTACCTAACCTAACCTAACCTGTACATGTTTGTGATACTGCGATAAGTCGTTAGATGACTTGATGTCACCGTCAATGGACATATATTTGATTATAGATATTTATTTTTTTAACTTCTGTGTTATGAAAAATCTATGACACATGACACATGAGTTTTCGCACCTTAAACGTCAGATCAATATGCATTTTAAAATTTTAAAACAAATAATTAATACCAAATCCATCCGTTGGTAAAGTTTGATGACGAAATAATTGTTTTTTTGTTTTCGGAGATTTAGTATTGTTTACCTAACATTATGTTCGTTTCAAAAACAGCGAAAGTATAAGGTAGCTGTATTCAGTATATAATATATTCGGTTGCATGTTGACAATACAAGGTTTATGTTTACGGTTTATATGATTGGTTTAGTTTTGTGTGAGTTGCGGATACGTACAAATACCTTCGAAAGTGGATTTTCGCAGATTACACGAGTAACACTATACATTGGACCATATATATGACGTATTTCTGCATTGGAATATAGACTTATAATACAACACCATCGGTGTTAGCCCCACGCACTTACTTTTTCTGTGCGCACTATTTGTATCTACCTATTTATGTAACACAATATATTATAGTGACGTTCAAATTGTATATAAGAGAATAATATAGGTCGATCAAACCTTATACACGAAACTACGCGAAATACTAATCGAATAATAGTCATTAATAGATTTTAATATTTTAATTTCCAGCCATCGTGAAGTCAAACGTCGACGTTGAGGCCTCGTCAGGCCAGGTGGTTCAGAAGCAGGAGTCCGAACAGCAGCAGACGGAGGGCACGGACGCGTCGGTTCTGCAAACGGACGTGACCGCATCGTCCCCGGACGTGCAGCAGTCCAGTCAAACGGAAGAAGTGACTGTTGGATCGGCAGTTCCAGTGGTTGGAACCGACACTGCCTCACCAGAAGTCTCAAACTCGAAGGCCGAATCCGACGTTTCCACCACGGCCACCGACGTTGAAAGAACGAACAGCGTCGCCGGAACCAACTCGCCCAGTCCCGTCACCGGAACCAACTCGCCAATCCCTTACCCTTCCAGCTCCGATGCCAAACCCAACCCATCTGTCCCCGTCCACGGCCAAACGCCCAAACCGTACTACACGGGTAGCGTGCAGACTGTGAAACTAGGACCTAACATGCCGTTCTTTTTGGAATTTTTCCAGCCTTTCCAGTCCTTCCAACCTTTCCAGCCATTCCAGCCTATGGTTCCCAACCATGAGCAACCACCGTTCAGACACCAACCGATTCCGTTCGGCACTCCCATCGACCCGTTCGCCAACCCTATGAATGCCCAACCTTTCAACCAGATGGTTGAAGCGTACACCAACGACTTCAGAAGTACGTGACACCAGTAAATTGTGTTTTTATATCATATAAACATGATTTAACGAGACAAAGTTATAATTTTTATAACCACGATAACACTATATGAAATAGTCACAAAATATGACTAAATCTAATATCATGTTTCGGGTGCATGGATAACGTACCGGATAATAAATATCATCATTGTAGGCGCCAAGTTGTGTACAAAAAATAATCAGAAACTGAGAACCACACACCCAAATAAAATAATATTAATTTTAAAATCAAAAAAATGTATATATTATATATCATTTTATTTCCGTTCTATTGACTTAAAATGTGCATGCGATATTTTAAACGTGCTCTGAAACCGAAAACCATCTCCTCCTCACCCATTGTAGCCTCTCCTATAAAGGCCCCGCAACTTGTACTTGGCGCCTTTATTGATGATAATAATAATATACTAATAACAATAACGCCTTGTTAACATAAACATCCACATAATATTATTATACGAAAGGCTGTTTAATATCTCCACATTGTTAACACCACTTTTATGATAACCATTGAATCGTTCGCCTAACAAATACTAACCAACATTAACCGCTTCATTCACAGCGCCCGGAGTCATAATATTAAAACCGAAAAGAAACGTCCGAGTTAATACAACCGCAATGCCACCCATTCCATTGCTAATGACATCATGCTTAAACGCTTTTCGGCATCACGAGCCTCGAGTAAATGTTGCACGACGTATTTTATTATAAAATAATAATGTAGGTAAGTAATAATGTAAGTAATAATGTAGGTAATGAGAGTGATGATAAATTCATCAGCAAACTACAATGTAATAACCAGTATCAGTTGTAGACGACTAGACGTATCATGTGTTTTGAGAGTAAAATTTTTAATAATTTATTATTATTGTCAGATACAACATTTTGGGGAAAACAAAACTATAAAATATATTTTGTTTTTGAAAATGGTGATGACTTCAAATAATGAAATATTTTTTAACAAACATATATTTAACGATAAGATGACTGTATAGGTACCGATGAAATAATCACGTTGTTGTAAACAATACTATTAGTTTATAGCTAATAACACTTAGCTATTAACACTATAGCTACGTCAAATTTGCAACTTTCATTTATTATTTAAAAGATAAATGCGTTATATATTATGGTTTTATTAATACGACTATAATATGGTCTGTGCTAAAATATAATAATACATCAATAACAATAATAATAATAATACTACTAATTTGTGTTACATTGTTTTAAGTTTTTTTTTTTTAAATTGTAATTTTAGGCATGATGGAATCTTTCGACAAATTGGGCCTTCCGCCATTAGAAAGTGTGGGCGTCAAACAAGAAGATCCGACCAAGCCCGTGAGGAAGACTACGTCCAAGACCGAGGTAAGTGAACCAATTAAGTGCCTTACGAATAATTATTTGTATTCGCATTATTTGGATTAGTCGAAAACCATCATTTTACAATATATAGAAAGCAGGTAGCAGCCCTAATTCTCCAAAGTCACTACATTCAAAGTCAAATAATTAATAAAGAAAACAAAAGCTTTTATCGAACAGTTCCGAATTCGTGACGCCAGAAATTACATAAATAATTATTACGATTCTGTTTTAAATTCGATTCGAAATCAAAAAAATATTGTACACACATCAGTGGTACCTCTTGAGGATTTTATGATTTACGACTCATGAGGCATGGTTTAATATTTTTACATATACCTAATATTGAACATTATTTCATATTATGTATTTTGATTGACGAGTCAACAGCCATAACTCATAATAATATTATACTGGCATATATTAAGTAGGTACATCATCAGTTTTACCTATATTATTCTGCTGTAAAATTAAATCTTATGAAATCGATTTTGAAATGGCCTACTTCCTCGAACAGCGTATAGAATAATAGTATGCAATATTTGTACAAATTGTTTGAAAGACTTAAAAACCAAAGGACGAAATTTTTTATTAAATAACATGTTGCGAATAAAAAAAAAGGTGCTTAAAAAATCATTTTTACTGCTAATTCTCATTTAATTCTGTACACGTTTCTGTATTTACAAGTCTTTACGTGATGTTCATTTCTATAGTAAATCAGTTATGTTTTATGCGCATATCTAACGCTTTATATTCTCTGTATTAAATTATAGAGCTGTATTATAAATTTCAACGCGCGTTGTCCTTATATTACAGTTGCTGAATTACTGCACCAGTGTAGGAGATTTCTGCAGGTTTTGACGGTGCTAACGACCAATTTTTTTTTATATGGTTGACTACAAAAATAATATATACACGCTACACATAGGTACTTGGTACCAGGTACATTACCTACTGTGAGTTACCCGACACGTATACGTCTTAAACGTGTTGACATTTTTTAATATCGAAATACCCGTGCAAAAATGTCGACGTATGCATACTTTTTGTATTATAAAACCATCGGAATTCATAAATTCGTTAACATATTTTTATTCATACTAATAACGTACAACCACAATCGTCATGCGTTTCGCATACCTATTTGCGTATTAACCACATTGAGGCGGAAAATCGGGATTTCGTTAGGGGCGATTCTGAAATGATGGACAAAACTCCTAAAGCTTTTACAGAGAGAGCTCGGCGAAACTTATCCCCCTCGTGCCATTTTAAAGAGGGTATCTAAACAAAACAATAATATTCTGTGTAGGGGTACTTAATTTTTAAACATTGCATTCAAAATTTAATATTATACGTACTGTGGATTCGGGTACAATAATTATGTCCATTTCGTTTGTTGTTGTGCATATACGTATATAGATCATTGACGGACACAGAGTCCAAATAAACGAAACTACGGTCAGCGGCGGAGACGAAAACCACAAGAGTTTCTACCATTTCAAAGAGATCCAGGTGCTGCCCGAAGGGATCAACCAAGAAACCTTAACCGAAGGGATCAACAAAGATCTCAAACCGAAAAAACAGATATCGATAACTGACGACGATTCGGAGGCTCAAAAAGTGGAGACAAACGAAATCAAACCGTACGTATATCATGACAAATCATGACAACCGGACGAACTTTGTTAAAAAGGTAGAATAACGAGATAGCGGCGGCTTCTTGTACACATAATATTAATATCAGCTATCATATTTTTATTACAATATAATATTTTAATAACCTAAAAACCTAAAGACCAATTTGTCACGACGACGGATTGAATTAATAATAATATACCTACCGCTTGTAGTTATTTTCCCAACACTAATAATAATTTAATAACAACTTAATGTTATAGTAATACACGTTTGGATATACCTATATTAATTTATCAAAATAACCGATTGAATATTCTATAAAGTATCGTTAACACAATATGATGATAATAAAAAACATTCCACCCAATCGATGGTAAAAATATTCGTGTGGTTATTAATTAGCTATTGTTATTATCATCGTCGACGTCAGAATAGCGGAATATTTAAATTTTATTAGTTATTTAATGATTACTATAAAAATCAAAATGTAACAAAAACCATAAAATCAAAATATATTATTAAACCTCCATATCACCTACCTATATAATATTTTATATAAAAACGGTGATTGGAATAAATATTTGCCATAATAATCTCAAATAGTTGTATTGTTTTAATTATTATTTTTTGTATGACAAAATATTATAATTTTATCAAAAATCTCACGATACCTGTTATCGTCGTTTAGTGATTATTTTTACAAAGAGAAATTAGTTTTGTATTTAATTTAAAAGTAATGCTATTACTAAAAAACATAATCTTATTATATTTATTTTGACTTGTGTGAATAAAACCTTTTAGGATTTACCACCTTGAACGACTCGAGTTTTTATTTGTCACGTCGTTTCAAAGTGTTGTTAAATGGATAAAAACAATATTCAGTATGTGTATATATAATAATTTGCTGCTTTTATTTTGATCGGTTCAACTTTGACAATTTACCTATAATACATATAGTCGTAAATAGTCGATTTGGTGTTTGTAATAATATGTCTAACTACCTAATAATTGTAATTATCTCGTTTCCGTGATCATAATATTACTCAATGATTATGATTGTAGCAGGTTTTCTGTTTTATAATTTGTTTTGCTTTTTGCGACGTAAAATGTTTATATTGCAGCGTCATAGGTACAGTACATTTCTGTACAAACCACATCGCAAAGACTATTTTGGAATTTTTTTTAACGCTTTATATCGATGTAATATTATTATAATGGTCAAACAGCTTTATTGCGGTTTTGTGATTACACCATTGTACGATATTCGATTTAAACCATGCACGTGTATATAAGTCTAATATTATTATAATATGATTGTAACGCACTACCAAAATCTGTCGGGTACGATATATCCAGATGAAACGAAGCGTCGTCGGAAACATGAATTTGAAAAAAGAGGAAATACAAAAGAGACACGTCTCGGAGTCAGAGTAAAAAAATATTATATTGTAAATAAAATAACGATTGGTTTTGAGCTGCTTCTTCTGGGCCATCTGTTGGAATGACTGTCAAACACAGGTACGTATCCGTTTTTTTTTTTTTGTCTTTTGGACCGATCGCACGTGGCTTAATATGTTATATGATTATTTTTATACCTTTTATATGCCTTACTGCAATACAACTGCCCACCAGCTTTTTGGATTCGAATTGGCGGGACCGCTGTACATACCTATATAAAATGCACGGAAGGCTTTAAACCAACGTATTACTCTATAGATAGCTATTTGGACACTATACCGCAGTATACTTTAGTTGATCATTAAGTTAAAAATCATTCAAATTCCTAGGTTTATTAGATTACCCACTTTATTATACACCTAATTATTGTTATATTGTCAAATATTAATTTCTCTCAACACTTGTAATTATTATTATGGAAACTAGTTGTATTATAACGTATAATAACTATTGTCAGATGTAGTTATTTTCACTTATTACACCATTATTATTTTAGTCAACAGTCATGCGCTGTTAAAACTGCAGTGCACTATATTAATTATTATTGTAACACACAGTTTTACACATTAACATAAATAATCGAATTAACAATCTTAATATTATAATATTTTATAGGTAATATAATTTATAATATAAAATACGTATACGTATTGTTCATGTACGATCACGTCACGTACCTACCTATATATTACAATAATATCGTCGAAATCCTCCGATGATCACAACTCGTATTTTTTGTTTCCCTCGCAGACACCGGCCGGACCCGTCCCTCTGGACGATCAATTCCAGACTGCCGCGGCCAGCTACTACGCGCCTTACGCTCCGATGTTCCGGTCGCATCAACAGCCACCAACCGGCCATTTGCAGCAGAAGCAGTACCACGGATCGTATATGATGCCGAACCAGGGCTTTTACCCGGTACCGAACCAAGTCCCTTACCCTGCACCGAACCAAGGTCATTACCCGGCACCGAACCAAGGCCATTACCCGGCACCTAACCAAGGCTATTACCCGGCACCTAACCAAGGCTATTACCCGGCACCTAACCAAGGTTATCACCCGGCACCAAACCGAATACCGCATCCAGCCCAGAACCACGGATCGCGTCCGCATCAACAGCCAATCAGCTTGGAAGGCGACACTCTGGTCAACGAGCTGGTCGCGGCCCAACAGCAAGCGAACGGCGGCACGGTGTTGCCGCCCAACGTGGAATTTGTGGACGTGAACGGCAAACCGCAACCCAGCGGCGAGTATTATCACTACAACAGCCAACAGCACCACCACCACAACAACAACAACAACAACATCAACGACAGCGGAAATCGCGGTCATGACAAGTTTCCCGGCCGTAAGTACTGACCAATCTAACCGCAGCCGGTGCGCGTTATGACTTAATGATTTAGGATATACAATTATAATTTATAATATCGAATCAATACGTAGGTACTAATAGCATAATGTGTAGTAAACTCGGTAGCAGGTAAATACCAGGCTCACTGTATCGAACCGTTTTACCGTTAACACGTCCAATATTATCATACTATCGGTACCTGCCTAAAATATTATATCATAGGTATAACATATTATAATAACATATGTCCGCGTCATGTGTATTCCGTATTATGCGAAGTCTTTTTCATTATCCGGTCACTTTTAAATATCTATTTATTAAGAATATTGTTTTTGATTTGTTTGTATATAAATATCCTTTATTTTAAGTACTTATACTATAATATTACTAGGTATGTTTTTTTACGTGTCCGCCCTCTAGATAGAGACCGTCGAGCATCGTTGAGGTCGCTCCTCTCTCTCACTCTTATTAATTGTAATATCCGTGTAACGGCGGCTTATTATTCCAACGCATAAATAATAAATAATCTCATCGCCCTCGCAATACTCACATTTAATTCATGAATAAATTATGTTCACGAATAAACGGAAATTTGCTCCACATGGAAACGAAAATATACCTATAAACTATTTTATTAAAACAATTATTTTAACCGATATTAATTGTCTCGCTTTACACGCTGACAGGTTTTTCAAAGAGTATGATTTTGCATGTTCAATCGTGATCGATCCAATGTTTGGCGTTGATTTTGATTCGTATCAGTTATTACTTATTAACTTATTGTTATGTGATTATTTAATAACCGCAGTATACCTAATATGTATATTATGTTTCTACAATAAATCGTAATGATACCAAAGTTAAAATATGATATTTTATTTTATATTGTTTTTATTTGTCTTTATTTGTTTACTATTTTTATATTAAGGCTTGATAAAATATATTGTGCATCTTTATACTTTGTCTAATTATAAATGATATTGTTGACTTTCAATTTCAAATGTATGCATGCAATTTGCATACGTAGTTAAAATGATAATAATATCATAATCCACACCTCTGTGTTTATGCTTAGGAAGTGATTACCGCGATTGGACTATTTGATGAAAATTAAATTATAATTAGCTATTAACTATTTTAGGAATAATTCTGTTTACATATTACTGTTAGCAACATTGATAACCTTTTGAAAAAGACGCAAGGAAACGGTTTTGAAAAATATAAAAATTAAAACCAATTTAAGTTAATATTGTATTCAGAAAAATGTATGTACGAGATAAATGGTAAGTGTAAAAATAGTTTTCTTTTTGAGAAGCATTAAAAAATTAATATTAACGATGTACTGTAGTAGTTGCTTACTGTTTAGTAAATTTATAAATCACAGTATTGACAGTTCGCATTATCATTTACTTTTAGGTACCTACTTGCCTACATTATTTCAGATCCATTATGTAATTTTAAGAGTTAAAACTACGTATCACTTTACACTGGTATAATATTATCATGTAAGTAAATCGAATGAATTTTAAATCAGCATGTCAAATTAGTGGATGGTTTTAAATAATATCAAAAATCGTACTGTATAACTTTCAATTTTTGTTCCATCAAAAGTCGTTTGGTGAACAGCATCATATTCCAAAAAATATTTTAAGAAAATCCTAATAATTTTTCCATACCTACCAGTCTCCTGTTCCAAATATAATATTACCTATACACGAGTGACGATTAGGTATGTAACGACATAGTACGTAATATTGCTATGATAATAATAATAATAATAATAATACGCATATGATATATTTTAGCACCACCTTTATCCTATACCTATACCTATTATACTATGTAGTATTCATTATGCATGGCAGAAAGAATATCATTTTTTTCTTCAAATATTAACTTTACTATTAAGCACTAATAGCCAAGTCTTGACTCATATACTGAAAATACAATAATAAAGCTAAACTACACACTTGTTTTTTTTCACCGCATATTTTGGTATATTGTTCCAATACCCAACGATAATATTGCAAGTATAATTTACTGTATTGTGAACGAACACACACACACGCACACTATACATCATCGAAAATAGTGTTATTTCCTTTCAGAAAATATTAGAACCAAGTACGTCGGTAGTCGTACCTACCTATTGTGTTACCTACGGAATCATACCGAACTTTTTATGTTGAACATATAATAATTGCGGTAACTAACGCAGTACAAATAAGGTACCTTTGTGCGATATTATTTTATACAGCCGTTTGGAGAGAAAAAAATCTCGCAATTATAAGTTTAAACCGGTCAGTGTACACAACCGTAATATTATCGAGGACGCCTAACCTTTCGGTAGTCGGATTTTAAGCGCACTGGTTCGAACCGTGTACTATTACATCCGCTCCCAATCTACTCCAAACTTTGATAATTTATTTATTTTTTATTCGTGTTTCTCTGTATACAGAATAGTGGCCGGGTATGGCAGCGTATTGATATTACAACAGACTTATAGCAAAAAAAAAAAACAGTTTAAATATTAAAAACGGTGGAAAGCCGTTGCAATATTATTTGATCCGAGTTTATTCGTCGGATATTATATCCAGAGACATTTTTAACGGTTAACCCCGAGGGGCTCACGGACCCACCCACACATACATCGTGTCAAAATAAAAGTGTAGTAAATAATAAGATAATAAGTCTGATATTTTGTAATAAAATATTATTTTATCTTTATATTATCGAATATATATTAAAGGTTAATACATGCATTATACCCACTCAGTAAAATATGAGTTGTATTAACATTTAAGGAAAATGAATAAATAAAAGGTCATGTTGCATGTTTCTTAAAAAAAATATGTATATTTGTAATGGAAATTTTTTAGAACGATTATCATACTTTTTAGTCATCATTAAAAATGCATTAGATTAATAAATGATTAGGTAATGCTTACCTGTATCATAATATTTGGGATACCACTAATTTTACACTTTTTCCCTTTGAAGTGAGCACCCTCATATGTACAATATAAAAAAAAATTTCATTATAAAGGTACAAATATCAAAACCTTATTAAAGCGTGATTATTGAATTTTTTTGTTTGATTAGTACCTATATCTGTTATTATTTTTATTAAAACGTGCAAATATATTAGTAATAAGGTCGCAGGTCATCATCTGAATATTTATAATCTCAGTACCCACTATTTGTTAAAAAATCATTGGTCAATATTTAAACAGTCAGCATTTAAATTCAAAATTATAACTATGTTTTGAATAACATTAAATATTATTTGTAACTATTTTAATCTTTTAATTTATAAGTATGTACAATATATTATTATATATAATATATAATTTAGGGTGCCACTTATTTATAAGTGATATTTTTTTAAGACTGTAACTCGAAATTGTTTTCTATATAATATATTGAATATAAATGTATACAATATCAACCCATTTCAACAACTTTAACACGTACTGATTTAAACTTGAGGTTTTAATAAACGGAAAAATTTTATTTTTGGTATTTTATTTTATATTTTCTTCATAACATTATAGTAGTTAAAAAATTAATATGTATATTAATTGTATGTAATAGTAAGAGTGAATTGACCTATTATCAAATTTAGAAGTAAGAATATTATTTTGTGAACCTCATTGGTTTTTTTTTATATTTAAATTTAAAAACAAATTATGAGTATTTTAAAAGGCACAAACAATTTTCAATTTTAAAATACTCAATTTATTACTCACACGCATTATTGAAAAGTGAAGAAAATCATCGTTTGTGTGTCCTAAATGTGTAAATATAGAGTCTATTATTTTATACATATTAGTTATATCGTTCTCTTTGTTATATTATTTTAATCGCTCAGTCTTTTAATGTTTGTCAATTGTCAATTACCGGAACATAGTCGCATTATTTTGAACAGTACATAATAGTTATCAGTAATATGTAGGAATCTATTTCTAATTTTTTTGTCACTTGCATTATGTTATATCTACAGGTAGGTGGTAGGTTCTATAAGCAGCTCGTTGCACTTGGTAATCATGTGGATAATTCTTATTCCATACAATTATACAAAGATTTCTGTTGACTCTAATTGACTCTGTTACAATTCAATTAATAATGTATGTGCAAAATTGCAACCTTTTGCAGTGTTGCTAATGTTAAAATCATTTTGCTGTCATGGTTTTAACCATAGTTTACGCCTTTACGGTATTGTTTTGAATTTTTAAAAATGACGTATTGTTCGGCTATCACAAACAGATGCGGCAACAACAATAAATAAATGGAAGAAAAATCAAAATTATTATTTACGGTCTATTGTATTCACGGACTAAGATATCTTAGACCGTGATTATATTATGGTATTATACGACTGGTAACCTATGAGTTATTAATAATTCTACAGTCTATACTCTATAGGTTACAATTTGATATTATTGTACTCAGCTAGTCGGCTTACATTTACGACATTATAATAATATCATGATTTGTGGTATACATAATATGAAGGTGTGTATATTCACGTTTCAATTGAGTGTTTTTTTTTTGGTGGGTTGGACTGAACACATTAATTGTTTATTAACATCGCATCATCATCATCATCATCATTTAGGTATCAGCGATACATATAGGTACGTATAATTTAAATTAGGTATTCGGTGATTGGTTTAATCTAGTTATAATAACTTAAACGAGTTAAGTATATTATGATATGTTATACTAGTCGTAGGCAAATAACGAACAGTAGGGTTGGACATGTTTTTACAATTAATTGAATACCTACGCCCCTGTCTTACAAAATTCCCACTAATTAATTAAAAAGTACAAGTCAGTCGCTAAGGCACAAGCTAAAGCATGCGTTGATTTATGTTGGCGATTGGTACACAGTTTTAAGGAAATCGGAGGTGATAAAATTAAATAAATATCGGTAAAGAAGAGCGATACAGCTCTCTTTAGGGCTGAAAATATCTATTGACGGGCCCGAATAAGAAGCTAGGTTACT